CAAAAAAATAACTGGAGTTGAGAGAAGGGAGGCAGCAGATGGAGTCTGACTGCTCCTTGGCTTGCGGGGTTGGTGCTCTCCAGGTCTCCCCATTTGAGTGTGTCCACGAGGGACTGGGACACACACGGAGTGTGGGCTTTCCAAGAAGAGGGAAAAATACTAATATATTTAGTTACCCATCTCAGAAGTATTTTTCCTTTTTTTTTTTTTAAATAATAATAATACCTTTTCATTTCAAGCTGTTTGTCTTGGGCTGCTTCTCTTAGATCTGAAACTTGGGACTGGAAAGCGGTAAGAAGCTTTTAGAAAGGGGGCAGGCAGGGCTAAGGTGCTCGGGGTCCTCTACTGGGGTGCAAATCTGCGGGGGTTGGGCGCTCAGAGCGATTGGACCCCTTGACATTCCTATCTGGGGCTCTTAATGACCAGAAGCACCTTTTAGCGAGGCTCTGGCCTTGAGAGCAGTCTTTAGCACACTCAGGAATCATTTATGGGCAGCCGTTGGCACTCTCGGCCTAATGGAAAAGCGACTCTTGGGTGCGAGCGTTGTGGTGGCTGTGGGGGCATTTCAGGAGCTGCCTGGCATTGCTGGCCCCTTTCTTGCTCCCCTACAGAGATGGAGAGGGGAGAGCAGTGGTGCAATGGCTCACGGGGGACCCTCTCCTGGGCCCGCACCCAGAGCTGCTTTTTCCTCCCGGCTTAATTACACCAGCGCTGATGCACTTTTATTCCAGCTGCCTTCCTGTATGCCAGCAGACTCGGAGATGGGGATTCTGATCTTTTCCGAGCCTTTCTGCACTCACTGTGTGCTGCGCGCATCCCCCTGCAGCCAGGGCTGCTCTGCAGGGTTGTCTCTGATGTCTCATACAAGGGTTGTGCTCGGTTGTCCCCAGCTCTGCTCTGCAGGTTGCCACTTGTCCTTGCTGACTGTCCCTTTGCATTGCTCGGAGCATCCTGATGTGTCCCATGGTGACACCTGGTGTAAGCCACATCATTTTTTCCATCACTTTCTTCCTTGGGTGTGCTTCCTCAGGTCAGTGTCTGTCATGATTCACCCCAGGGCTGGGAGCCAGCCCTGGTCACCCTCCTTGTGCCTCGCCTGGTTGAAGACTAAAACCTCATCCCAGTTGCTCACCAGTGCCCCCCATGCACCTGCCCTCTTGGGAGGGGTTGGAGGCTTCTCCCCCTTGTTGCTGGGATAAGGGCAGTGTCCCTCACTGAGTGTCAGGCTTTGGTGTACACGACAGCTTTGAGAGGGAAGACGGTGGGGGGGGGAATCTCTTCTTATAGACTGGACCAGGTTACCCCCCTCCACCCCTACCTGTTTATCACTCCCCTGTGGGTGACAGTGTCATCCCCAGTGCATTTTTCTCTCTCCCTGGAGAACTTTTCCAGTCTGAAGTGACACCGTGCTGTTCTTAGACCCCTTTTCCAGCTGAAGTGCAGCTGCTACCAAGCTTGGATTGTGCTCATGAGTCCAGAGTCCCACGTCCATCATCCCCCCACTGCTGTCACCACCTTGTCCCCACAGCAGGGCATTCCCACAGCTGTCCCCTACACCAGCTCAGCAGTCGCCTTTCACTTCCCTTTCCTGTCCCCGGGACGGAGCCACTATGACCACCCCGATGGCGACAGGGCTGAGGCTCTCTGGGGACCTGCAGCCACCAGCACAAGGCTGTGCCCTGCAGATGGAGCCACTGGTGCCGGGGCTGCCGGACAGAGCAATGCTCCCAGTGGCACAGCCCTGAGTCCCCGGGGCGGGCAGGGGTGAAGGGGACCCAGGGGGCTGAGCTCATCGTGGGTTTGGTCTGAGGCGCCGGCTGGGCTGTTCTCATGCCGAATGCACTGGGCAAGAGTGGTGCCAGTGCCTGAGGGGTTGGGTGCCAGTGCTGAGCACGTGAGGAGCTGGGAAATGCCTTCCCAGCACTGTCCCCGGGGGATTTCTCTGTCTGGTATGGCACAAAACTTCTTGTAGATCAGGATCTGTCCTTGGGGATGGCTGCTGCCCCCAACCCATGTGGCCATGGGGACTTCAGCCCTCGGGGGCTGCTACCCTCCTCCTTCCTCTTGCAGTGCCAAATATTACGTTAATGCACAGAGCCGTGAAAACTGCTCCAGCCACACTGCGTGACCGGGACAGCAGGTGCCTGCCGGGCTGTGCCAGGCCCCCTGGAGCTGCATCACCTCACCCGTGGCTCCAGGGAGGCTGAATCTGTTCCCCTGCCCGTGCTGGTGGGGACCAGGGCTGGGCTTTTAACTGCACTGTGAACCTGCTTCACCAAGAATCATGGGGGTCCTTGCCAAGGGCTGTGATGGGAGCAATAAGGGATGGGGTTTTGGGGCGGGGTGTAAGAGTGGGGCTGTGCAACAGCACCACCTCCTCTTGCACCTCTGAATGATGCCGTTTGGCTCCAGTTTCTGTGCTTCTGTCTGCGTCAGGCCCTACCAGAGAGCCATTCCCAATGGGTGGAGGAGGATGAGGGTGTCCCAGGGCTGGCTCCAGCTCTGCCGTGTTCCCATCCCCGGCTCTCAGCAGCAGCTGGCATCTCCAGCCCGTTGCCGGCTGCCCGGGGAGGAAAACAAACAGCGTCTCCAGCTCACCAGTGGAATGGAAAGTTTTGCTTGCTGCGGCTGTGTTGGGGTCCATGCAAGGAACGGACTACAGCACACCAATATGATGCTCTGATAGTCATTTTATTACACACAAAGCATGGTTTTTATACATTTCCAGGATTCTGTGTTTAATCTGACTCCTAATTGGCTGCACGTGCTACCCACCCCGGCTAAGCTAATATATAATGGGTTGAAATTTCTCCGTCTCCAGTCTATTTTGTTGTGTTCAGTGTAGTCTTTATCTTCTTTACTCCTCTGCTAGGTTTCTATTTTCAAGCACTCAAGGTCGTTCCCACATCGCAGCTGCATGCCTCCCATTACGTACCCCTGGGCCGCTACACGGCTGGACTGCCTGGCTGACGTTCTCCCAGCTGAGCAGCTCTTAAATACCTCGGCCAGGCACTTGTGCCTCTCGCCTGCTCTTGGCAGGTTCCAGCTTTCCCAGAGCTTCGCCTGGCAGCAGTGGGTGAAATCTCCCCACCTGCCCCATGCAGTTTCCCTGCCACAGAGCAAGATGCATTGCTGCGAACGGCAGCTTTTCCTCCTTCTGCCACCCGGTCTGTGTCCCTGGCAGCCTTGTCCCCAGGGCCAAAGAGTATTGAGCTCAGCTCTCCCTTACCTCAGGATGCTCCTGCAGCCCTTTGCTTTCCCTCGCGTGGGTTTTCATTGCAGCGTCTCTCCCTACCAGGCGAGCAGGAGGAGTTTGGCCATGCTCCAGGGCTCCCGTGCATGAAGGACAGAGGAAGAGGAAGGCCACCACTTGTGTTTGTCATCGAGACGCGCTGCGTGGGATCCCTGCCACTCTTATGAGGTGGGAGACCCCAGTGGGGTGCAACACTGACAGAGCCCCCAGGAGAAATTTGGGGGCCTGGTTGCTCCCAGCTTTGGTGCCTGATGGCAGCGAGGGGTGAGTCAGCAGCTGAGCTGCCAGCAGCACCCATGGGTGCTGCTTTGGTGCCTGTGAGGATGAGCAAGCGTTGTGCTGGGATGCTGGGGAAGATTGTGATGGGGGAGCTGTGGAAGTGCTCCTGTGCCTGCCTCCTGCTCAAGCACCTGCTGTGGAGGGGGGAACCCTGTTGCAGTAGAGGTCAGGGTGGGTCTTGGTGACCCAGCTCTCTGCTTCAGCACCCTTACCCACTGAGAGCAGAGCAGGGTATGAGGCTGTATGGCTGTGCTGGTTCTTAGGGTCCTGGGCAGAGAGAGGGGCCAGGCCCATGAGTCGAGCTGGGTTTTTGCAGCCAGCAGTGCTGTTGGACTCTGAGCTCCAACTCGGTGGTGGTGGTGGTTGGCAGCAGAGAAGCACCAGTGGGACACCTGGTCCCCTCAGGGGACTCTGCCGTCCCCCTTGGGTGGAGAGACCCAGTTCCCATCTCCTCTTGGGAGCAGATCCCTTGGGGATACCAGTCCTCATGCCCAGCCCGTGGCAGGGCTCAGTGCACGCGAGGCGGGGTAAGCGTGGCAGGTGGCACCATCCCCACTGCCATGGCTGTGCCAGGGGCCGAGGGATGCTCACAAGACCTGTGCGAGTCCTGTGGGTGCTGGCACGTGGCCATGGGAATGCGGAGAGACTGGAGGTGTCCATGACTCCCTTTGAGAGCCCCCATATCCCCTAATAGGATCTGGGACTCGCTCCCGTGCACTTGGATGGAATTAACCTTTCCTGTGAGGTCCTGCCTGATGGAGCCGGGCTGCAGGGACCCTTGGGAGGGGATTGCTTGAGGAATTAACCACCTCTTGGCTGTTAAGCTTCCACCTCCCTGCACGTGGTGCTGGGTAGGATTCAGTCTCGCAGCCTGGTGTGTGCGCACACGTGCCAGAGGGGGAGCGTTCTGCATCTCCGCTCCCAAGGGGCACCCTAACACGCAGGGAAACCACTGCACTAAACCTTGGGGACCGGTCTCCCTCTATCTGAGAGCCGCGGTGGTGTTCTGTGGGCCCAGCCAGGGCTTGTAGGGACCCCCTGCAAGGTTTCCTATGCACATGCCAAGCAGGTCAGGAGCATCCTGCTGAGTTGGGGAGTGCAGCCTGGGCATCCCACAAGCATGTGATGGGAATGCTCTGACCCTTTCTGTCCCCTGCTCTGCTCCCAGCAGGTGAAGGGGTGGTGCCAGTGGTCCCAGTGGCCAGGGAGCGAGTGGGAGATAGAACCACTGTCCACCCAAACCCAGGGAGGGGGTGCAGGTGTCAGGGATGCGGTGGCTGGGCTGATGATGAGCTCAGCAGCATGGCCAGTGGTGTGGGGGACTGAGGCTGGTGAGATCCCACTGGTGAGGCCCCATCTCCTGCTGGGACCCAGCCTCTCCCCACACGTGAGCTCCTCGGGGGGATACTTATTCTCATCTTGCTGACTCCTTGCACACCCCCAGCCTGCCGACCACCACGAGCCCGAGATGTCAGCTGGCGACAAGAACGGGGGCAGCCGCTCCAGCAGCAGCCGCCTGCAGAGCAAGAAGCCCCCCAACCTCTCCATTGTCATCCCCCCCCGGGAGGCAGAGGAGGACGGCACCCGCAAGGAGGTGAGTAATGAAGAGCTGCATCCATCCTGTGCTGGCCCTGGGGGGCTGCCATCTTGGGGGGCAGCCGTCCTGTGCCTAATGCCCTATTCTGCCTTCCAGCCCTCCAAGGTCCCCATCTACCGAAAGAGCAAGAGCCTGCAGGAGCCCCGCTCCAAGGGATGCGAGGGCTCGGAGCGGCGGCCTGGCTTCCGCCGGCAAACTTCCCTGTCCCAGAGCATCCGCAAGTGAGGACCGGGGGGTGGCAGCGTGAGGGTAGGGTGGGCTCCGGCAGTGGCTGGGTCACCAGAGGAGTCCCTCAGTTCCCATTGAGGTGTTGTGGCTGTGGGTACCGGCAGAGGACTTGGCGTGAGGATGGAGGGTCACAGCTTGGAAGGGAACTCCTTGGAGGGTTTTGTGTGGCTTATGTTTGACTTGCTCGTGTCTGCCTGTGGATGATCCTGCAGCAGAACTGTTCAGTGCTAATTCAAGCTGTTTTGTACATTGGAGAAACTTCTCAGCCCTGTTTGTGTAGGACCTTCATGAGCACCTTGAGCTGGACATCTGCTGCAGCCCAGAACTGATGCACCACCCTGTGCAAGGTGCAAGTCTCGATGGAATCACCTTTCCAGAGAGACCCAAAGGCCAGCGACCCCCCTGCAGCATCCCTTCCCCCAAACCCATAGCCAGCTCAAAACCGCCCTGCCGCACACTGAGCTGAGACACTCCAACCCAAACCACCTGCCAGAGGGGATGTCAGGGTGGGATGGTGGTACCCACGGTGGGGGGACCATCTGGGTGACATCTGTCCTCTGTCCAGGGGCACGGCACAATGGTTTGGCGTCAGCAGCGACTGGGAGGGGAAGCGGCAGCAGTGGCAACGCAAGAGCTTGCAACACTGCAGCATGAGATATGGGAAGCTGAAGCCTGCCTACCGCGACATGGAGCTGCCCAGCCAGGAGGTGCCTTCCTTCCAAGGCACCGAGTCACCCAAACCTGCCAAGATGCCCAAGGTAGATCTCGGGGCGTGGGGTCTAGCTCCCAGCCTTGCTCTCCCAGCACTGACACCTCTCCCTCTTCTAGATTGTGGACCCGCTGGCCAGGGGCCGTCCCTTCCGCCACCCTGATGAGACCGACCGTCCCCACACACCCCACCACGTCCTGGCCCCGCTCACCCCTGGTGTCGTCTCCTTGGCGTCCTTCAACAGCATCCGCTCTGGCTACGGCCACCTGCCACGCAGGAAGAGGGAGTCGGTCGCCCACATGAGCTTCAAGGCAGCTGCGGCCCTTCTCCGCGTGAGTTTTGGGGAGCTGAGGGGATGTCATCTTCTCCCTGACTTGGATTTCAGCTCTGTCCCTCGCCCATCATCTTTACTTCTTGGCTTTTTACTTTGCACAGAGATCACTGTGCACAGCGGCAGGTTTGAGGGAGAATGTTGGTGGTTTTTTTAACCTGAGCTCTGCTTAAACAGAGAAATTTTAGTGAAAACTGGGCCACCAAAGTGGAACTAACTTGCACGGCATCCCTAGAAAAAAAGCAGCTTCTGGGTTTCACTGCTGAGGAACCCAGAGACCTCTTGCTGCAGGAGGAGCTTCTCTAGTGGCTTTCTAGCCCCTGGGGAGCCCTGGGCAAGCCTTGGTACTGGGTTTGTGGAACCAGTATCAAATTGGAGGGCTTCTGGTTTCTTACCCTCATTTGCTTCCCCTGCCAAAGGGACGCTCTGTCCTGGAGCCACTGGCTCCCAAGCAGAGAACCACCAAGAGGAGCTTCATGTACCCCAGCTTCATGGATGAGGACATAGTGGATGCTGCCGATACACTGGATTCGTCCTTCTTCAGTAAGGCAAGCACCGTTCCACAGCAGCTGCTGGAGTGGGGACTGCCAACGTGGGGATGTGTCACACCCTGTGACATGCAGTTAATGGGATGTCGGTGGGAATTGCCCCCACTCAGGCTGGTGATGTGTGTACTGAGTCAGGGGGATGTTTCTCACCTGTTGCACACATCCAGCACATGTTTCCATCCTCCTTCCAGATGGACATGCATGACGAGATGTACTCCATGCCTGACGATGTCTTCGAGTCGCCACCTCTATCGGCCACGTATTTACGCATGCACCCAGTGGGAGAGGATGCCAGGGTGTCCCCTGAGGTGGAGCAGCCCACCCCGTGAGTACCAGCTCTCAGCGAGTGCTGCCCAGGTCTCCTGCCACTGTCAGGACAATGTCCCCAGCCATCCCTGCCATAAGGTCCTGGGCATTTCTAGCGTGCTCCTAGGAGGATGAAGCCAAGAGGTGTCAGAACCCTCATCCCAGGCACCCATGGGGTTACACATCGGGGATTTCTCAGCTTTTGACAGATGTGATGGGTTTTTCTCTCTGCAGGCGGGAGGGCGTCTGCCTTACTTCAGCCAGTGCTGACTCGGCTCCCCGGCGAGGCAGGCGCATTGCTTCCAAAGTGAAGCACTTTGCCTTCGACCGCAAGAAACGCTACTACGGGCTGGGTGTGGTGGGGAAGTGGCTGAACAGGACCTACCGCCGCAGCCTGAGCAGCATCGTGCAGTCGCAGCTGGAGATCACCGACAGCCACCGGTGAGGGGGGACTGGCAGGATGGGGATGGGCACAGGGCTTCTCAGGGCTCCCCAGCTGTAATTCAAATGTGTCCCCTCCTTGATGTTTGGGGGTCAGGGCTTGGGCACTGCCACACTGCAGTGTCCTTGTGCCCAGCCATCCTTGAGCTGCTCCAATTTTGGGTCCTTTCCTCCATAGGCCGTATTTCACGTACTGGGTCACCTTTGTCCACATCCTCATCACCTTGCTGGTCATCGGCACCTACGGCATCGCCCCCATCGGGTTTGCCCAGCACGTGACGACAGAGTTAGTAAGTTTAGTTAGTAAGTTTAAGAGCTACTGGCCGGGGCTGTCCCCTCCCAGGTAACAAGTCTGACTGTGAAATGGCAACCAGCTGGCTGCTGGGGAAAGCAAGGCTGGTGTCCAGGGGTGCTTTGAACACCCCAGAGCAGGGATCCTCCCGCTGGTGTTAATCCTGGGAACCTGCAGCCACTTGCATTGTTCCCAGGCTGGAGAGAAGAGCAGGTACCCATCTTCCTGGAGGGACTGTGTCTACCAGAGTCTTGTGCCACCGTGTGCCCTGCTAGGGCTGGGACCGTCTTGGGGTGCTTGCTGGCTCCTGCTGTTTGAGAGGCTCCAATAGGGAGCCAGGGAAGGGGGTCTGCCTCTCCTTCTTGCATTGCTGGCAGGATGCAGAGGCCCTTCCTCTCAAATGAAAGGGGCTGCTCCGCCCCCTATGAGTGGAAGGAGGAGGGGCTGCACCTGAGCGGACCCCTCAGCAGGAGCTGACCCTGGCCTGGCTCTGCAGGTGCTGAGGAACAAGGGCGTCTACGAAAGCGTCAAGTACATCCAGCAGGAAAACTTCTGGATTGGGCCCAGCTCGGTAAGGGCTCTGTGGGACCACTACCACCTGCCCAGGGCTCTGCCCTCTCCCAGCCTCTGTAGGGGGACCTGGGGGTGTTCCTCTCCATGGGAGCAGAGCTTGACCCCTCATCCCAGCCTGCTGGGGACCATCCCATCCCTGTGGGACCTGCTGCCTGGGCTGGGGGTCAGGGGTGCTTCCCAGAGCTGCGGCATCACAGTGGGATGGTCAGGAGAAACCCTATCCCCTTTCCACCCACCTTCCCCACACTGGGGTAACAGAGATTTGGGGTTATTGCCTGTGGGGAGTCCGTGCCCCTGCTGAGCTCTCCCTAGGGGCAGCTGGAGGGAGGGGACATGCTGGGGGGCCATGGAGCAGCCCCTGGACAGGTGTCTCCCTCCCAGATCGACCTGATCCACCTGGGAGCCAAGTTCTCCCCCTGCATCCGGAAGGATCGGCGGGTGTAGCGGCCCATCCAGCGCGAGCGGGACCGGGAGCGCGGCTCTGGCTGCTGTGTCCAGAACGACAACTCAGGCTGCATCCAGACCCTGCCTCAGGACTGTTCGGTGCATGCTGGGGATCCCTAGGGAACAGGGGGAAACCATCCCCACCCTGCCCAGCACCAGGGCAGGATGTGTGCGGGGTCAGAGCTGGGTGCGTTTGCTGCCACATCTTCAGTCTCTCCGTCCTCCCTGCAGGAGACACTGGCAACCTTCATCAAGTGGCCAGGCACCAATGCACCAGCCATGGGCTCGGGGGAGAAGCGGACATCGGGTGCCGTGTGTCATCAGGACCCCAGGTAGGAGTGATGGCTGGGGAGAGGTGACACGGCAGAGGTGCTGCATTTCCAGCTTGGGTACCTTGAATCCTCTTGTGCAAGGGGCTGGGAGCTCTTACACACCATAGGAGAGTGATAAGGAAGACGAAATCAGTGGGGAAACTGAGGTGGGGTCTGTCCTAAACACAGGCAGCAATGGGTGATGCTGTTGTCTCGTGCTGGCCTCTGCCCTGCTCCATGGGATGAGGTGGGATGGGCAATACTGCAAGGGGACATCAATGGGGTTGTCCCACAGATGTCGAGTGCTGCAGGGTTTGCCTGTGGAAGGTGCTGCTGTGGGGCAGTGTAGGACACCATGGTGCAGGATCCCTCCCAAGCCAGGGGAAGGAGCAGGTCCTGGGGTCAAGGGGAGGCTATTCTGGGGGTGGGATGTGCTGGAGAGGACCCATCCTGACCCCTCCTCACCCTCCTCCTCCCACCAGGACATGTGAGGAGCCAGCGTCCAACCCCCCCCATGTGTGGCCAGACGATATCACCAAGTGGCCGGTAAGAGCCCAGTGGCACCATGGTAGCAGCCCCCATGGAGGCACAGCAGGCGCTGAGCTGGGCAGGGGGGATTGCAGAGGGAGCCTGACCATTGCTCCTCTCCCTTCTGCTTATAGATCTGCACCTACGAGACCAAAACCAACCACACCGGCTTTGCCCACCTGGACTGCCAGATCAAGGGCAGGCCCTGCTGCATTGGCACCAAGGGCAGGTGGGTCACAGCAATGCGAGCCCTGGGCTCAGCTCCCTGCTCTGCCCCATCAGTGTCTGGAGCTGTGCCAGGGGCAGAGGGTGGTTATGGAGCCCTGGGGGGATGGGAAGCTTGGTGGTGGCAGAACCAGCTGCCCATAGCAAGGGGGATGCTGAGAGGAATGAGAAGCGAGCCCTGCCCTGAGCGAGCCCCCTGCCTGCCCTCTGTCCAGCTGCGAGATCACAACACGGGAGTATTGCGAGTTCATGCACGGATACTTCCATGAGGAGGCAACACTCTGCTCACAGGTGAGCGGGCCTGGGACACATGGTGAGGGATGGAGCACCCAGTGCCAGCAGCCAGGTCACGCGTTGCTGTGCCAAAGGGCTTTATAGCATCCTGGGATGTGGTTGGGATGGGTGTGAGCAGAGGGGATGCAAAGCACCCAGACTTTCCCAGCTATTGGCTGGACTTCTGCTGCATGGCTGCCTTGCTGGTGTGGGGTACTGGCGTCCTTGGGAAAGGCTCATCCTGGGCAGGAAAGTGGCCCTTCAGAGTTTCCTGGGGTACTGGGGGTGCTTGGTTGCTCCCTCCTCAGGACCTGGGCAGCATGAGTGCACCCCACCACCCAAGGTACCCCCCACAACTGACACTGGCCACACACCTCTGTGACCCATCTGTTGCTCCTTGCAGCTCTGGGATGGGGGCTGAGCCCCATACCCCATCAAACTCCTCTGCCTTTGCAGGTGCACTGCCTGGATGAGGTGTGCGGCCTCCTGCCTTTCCTCAACCCAGAGGTCCCCGACCAGTTCTACCGCCTGTGGCTGTCCCTGTTCCTGCACGCCGGGTGAGCTGCAGCCCCCTCGGGGGTGGGAGTGACTTGAGACCAGAGTATCCACTGGGATATGGTCTGTGATCCCACATGTGTTGGGAGAGAAGAGGGGAGAAGAACACCCAGGGTACAGCGACACCCATGTATCAGTGGAGGGTGTTTTATGAGACATCTTGTGCCTGGGGCAGTGGGCAGGAGGGCTGGGCAGGGGCTCCGGTGGGGCAGGGGTCTCTAATGCAGGGTCTCTGCCCCCAGCATCATCCACTGTCTGGTGTCGGTGACATTCCAGATGACGGTGCTGAGGGACCTGGAGAAGCTGGCGGGCTGGCATCGCATCTCCATCATCTTCATCCTCAGCGGCATCACAGGCAATCTGGCCAGTGCCATCTTCCTGCCCTACAGGGCAGAGGTGAGGGCTGGGGGGGGGGCTGCTCACATCACCCCAAACCCAGCCAGATCCCCTGGGACCAAAGGATGTCCTTCCCCGCCCCTGCCCCAGCAGAGGTTTGGGGAGGGGGCTGCAACACAGCAGTCTCAGCCTCTGGCAAGTTTTGGGAGGCAAGAGGATGTGTCTGCCCCACTTGTGGGGTTCACACGTGCTGCATGGCTCACGCGTCGCCACGTGTCGGTGTGCGTGTGGCGTCCCCAGCAGGCAGATGGCTAATCTGTTCCAGTGAAATGCTGCCGGGCTTTAAATGAGATCAGGCCAAGAGCCTTAATCCCCCCGGGGTGCTTCAGGACGGGGCTGGGGGGGCTGTGGCCTGGGACAGGGTGATGTTGCCCGGCTGCTGAGTCACCAAAAGCACCAACTTTCCCGAGACAGTGCTGGTGTGCTCTCCTCTGCTTCCTTCTGTGCCAGTGTGAGTGTGGCTGCCCCATGATAGTGCAACCTTTGGAGGGATGCAGGAGCCAAATGCATTTTGCAAGGGGAGGAAACAGCCCCTGGGGACACGGTGACGTGTCTGGGGTGATGTGCATAGGGTCTGGTCATGACCATCCCCACAGGTGGGCCCCGCTGGGTCCCAGTTCGGCTTGCTGGCCTGCCTCTTCGTGGAGCTCTTCCAGAGCTGGCAAGTGCTGGAGAAGCCCTGGAAAGCCCTCCTCAACCTCTTCGGCATCGTCCTCTTTCTCTTCATCTGCGGCCTCTTGCCGTGGATCGATAACATCGCTCACCTCTTCGGCTTTCTCAGCGGCCTCCTCCTCTCCTTCGCCTTCCTGCCTTACATCACCTTTGGCACGGTGGACAAGTACCGTAAGCGAGCCATGATCATCGTCTCCTTGCTGGTCTTCGTGGGGCTCTTTGCCTCGCTGGTGGTCTGGCTCTATGTCTACCCGGTGAACTGGCGCTGGGTGGAGTATCTCACCTGCCTGCCCTTCACCAGCAAGTTCTGCGAGAAGTACGAGCTGGAGCAGGTCCTGCACTGACCCTGCCGGCGGGGACGGGGCTGGGAAAGGCACTGGCCGTGATGGTTTCCATGGGGTTGGGTCTTCACCAGCCAGTGAGAGACAGTGGCTGCTCTGAGATGGGGCAGACCCCAGGCACAGCTTCGTCCCCAGGGCTGGTGGGTTTGGGGTCACCTCTGTTAAATGCTGGGGAGGCATTGCGGAGCAGGGCTGGAGCCACCCTGCCTTGCAACCCCTTTGGGGCTGCCTTTCGGCTCTGAAAAGCCATAACTGGTCTGGGGACCAACCCCAGCTGCTGCCTGCATGGGGGAAAAGGCTGAGGGAAGTGGGATTTTGGTGCATCTACAGTCCAAGCCTGGGGCAAGGGGCCTCAGTTCCTGTCCAGGGCCCCGTCCTGCCTTGACGCCCCTGGGTGCTGCAGCTCATACTGTGAACATGACCCCCTCTTTTGCAGGGGAACTTTTTTTATCTGCAGCTCTTTAGGCCAAGGGTTCCCCCCACTTTGGGCTCTCTGGGGCCTGTGCTGCAGCTCTGAGGTGTTCAGAGCTGAGCTTTGAAGGTATTTTTCAGTCCCTGGTATGTGTTGCTTTGGTGCTGGTGGGTGTCAGCGCTGTTAAACGGGGGAAGGTGGGACCTCCATAGCCAGGCTGTTCTGGGGTGAGTATTCAAGGGCTGGGAGCTCAGCTCCCTCTGTCTACAACCGCTGTCCAGGTGACCCCAGGAGCTCTGTGGCACCTGCAGCCACCCTCTGTGTCCCCCTCCATGTCCCTCCCTCCACCACGGGCCAGTTTTCAGCCTTGCTCCGTCCCTTCAGTTGCTGCTCCAGTCAAAGACAGATACCACCTCATTTGTCTCTTTTTGGTACTTTTTTTTAAAAGCTGTGGGTTTTTTCTTCCCCTTAATAAATTTCTACCTTTATTTAATGAGACACAAGGCCTCTTCTCCCTTCTCGGGTGTGGGGATGCGGCACTTCTAGGGGATCCTGGTTCTTTTGGTGATGGCACCTGATAAAGACACCGCTGCCTCTATCCCACCGTTCATCGAATAACCGAGGGATGTATTTGCCCCATCTTCCCCAAAGCTGGGACACTCCAAGGGGTGTTGGATGGCTCCCAAATGGTCCTCTCCCTCTGGATGTTGTGGCAAGGCGACAGCTGGTGTTGGACAGAAACACACATAGAAAAGCTGCGTAGAAAACCACCTCCACATCTTTATTTGCTGCTTCACAACAGCCCAAGGCGTTTGCAGAAGGCTTGTCCTGGGCCAGTTGAGGGTCTGGAGGGGGACTGGTTTGGACTGGTCCCCCAGGGAGGCTTTGTAACGTGCAGCTGGGGGTAGCTGGGGACTGAAGTTGTGCTCCAATGGGTCTGGAAAGGTGTCTGCAGGCAGGGGGTGGCTGCTGGGGGAGGGCTTGGCCATGGCACACTTCACTGGTGGTGGTGCTGGTTGGGGGTGCAGGGCTGGAGACGTGGATGTATGGGCTCTGCTGGGTGTCTCAGCAAAACAAGACTGTGAGCACTCTTAAATCAGCAGGCCCCCTGAGCTGCTCTTAGGACAAGGCTTTTCCATCCCTGTGTCCCTGCAGCCCCCCCAGGGTTGCTGACACAGGGGGTCAGTGCTCCTGGTGGGGCCAGGCTGGAGATTTCGGTCCCCAGCCCTGTGGGGTCGGGATGGGACCGAGCTGATCCTGGCTGGAAGGCAGATGTGGCAGAGGGAGGAGCTGTAGCCAGGGCCATGGCAAGGATGGAGAAGGGTCACAGCCATTTATTTCCATCCCCTCTCTGCCCCAGTCAATTCCAGCCCCCTCAGGAGGGCCGGACTGGAGCGGGCTCAGCAGCCACTGTTCCTGCGCATGAAGGCGTGTCCCCGCACGGGATGCTGCATCTCAACGAAGGCCATGTCCCCCACCGTCACCTGGCAGGGCCCCAGCGCCTCGAAACCACACTTCTGGTAGAAGGGCACCAGGAAATCTTCGCACATGAGCAGGGCGCGGCGGGCGAAGGGCAGGCAGCGCAGGTACTGCAGGTACCGCCACATCAGGATGGAGCCCTTGCCCTGCTGCCGAAAGGTGCGGTGCACAGCCAGGACGTGGATATGCACGGCCGTGCCCAGTGGCTTGTGCAGGGTCAGCGCCGCCTGCGAGGGGGAAGCAGGGGGTTAGTGCCACCAGGGGGGCCCATCCTGCACGAGTCTGGGCTCCCCACCCTAAAAAACGGGGTCTACATCGTACCCCAAAGGGAGAAGGGTCCTGGTGCCATCCCCCTTTGCCTCCCCCCCATCATCCCTGCAGGCTTTTTAATTTTGAAATGAATGTTGTGGGGAATTACTGAGCATGTTTTTTAACAGCATCAGTAAAATTAACTAATGAGGAGGTTAATTTCCACCAGAGCAGCCCTATAGCAATTGGTTTTAGGAGAAGATTAGTGAGTGGCCTCAGGGCTCCCAGGAGCCTGTCCTCATCCCCGGGTTCCAGAGGTGCCTCTACGAGTACAGGAGCTGGGAGGAACTGGGTCCGACTCTTACCTGGCTGAGCCTGTCCTGGTCCCAGAGGGAGCCAATGATGAACGCTACCAGCCGCCCCTCCTCAAACCAGCCGAGGGACAGCTCCGGGCACAGGTTCAGAAAGTGGCGGATCTCGTCCAGGTGGAGAGGACAGTCCCCAGAGACGGATATAAAGGCTGGAGAGGGACAGAGGTGAGCATGGTGAGAGGGACCAAGGACTCCCAGCTCCAAAAACTCCCCCAACACCGAGGTAGGGAGGGAAAGTGGGATGTGGTGGGGAGAGACAGCACGTGTCCTGCTGCCAGCTTGGCCTAAAGGCGCTCTAAGGGACAGGATGGCTCTGAGGAGCAGCTCTGCTCCTTCAGAGGTACCCCCAGGGCCAGGGACTTGCTCCCTGCTGTCATTGCTGGTCCCAGGGCTTCAGCAGTGGGTGCTGGGATGAACTCTTCCTTCTGGTATCCTCCCATGCCCTCACCTTTTGGGGAGGAGGGAGAAATGGGCTGGGTGGAAGGAGCTGGAGGTGCCTGGGATGGAAGAGAATGAGGGGAGGTTGCTGGGGGTGCATTGACAGGAGGCTGAGCATGTCCTTCCTCCCACCTTCCCCCTTGCCTTTGACAGGGCTGTTTTGGGAGAGCTGCTCCCCATTGCCCTGCTCCTGCTCTGAGATCGCCTCCCATCACAGGTGAGCTGGGGAATGTGGTTCTTCACCTCCTTAATCACAGCCTCCCCCACCTCATCAGGGAGCTCGTGGTGGCCTGGCCACAAGTCATGGCTGCTGGCTCCCTCCCTTATCACCCACAGGGATTTTGCCACCAGTGTGTGCCCCGAGGAGCCTGAGGGACTGGTGGAGGGAAGGGACAGAGCATCTGCAGCCAATGCCACCAGGCAGGACCTCCCAGGGCAGCCCCTTACCTTCCCGCTCGATCTCGAAGACGCTGACGGCATCCTCGGGGCTGAGGCAGCGAAACTCACTGCGGCGCTGGCCCCTGCGCGAGCTTCGGGGGGACCTCAGGTGAACAGGCTTCAGGAAAGGCAATGCGCTGAGCGCCAACATCCTCCTCCTGCCTGGCTTCCCACCGCTCCCTCTCTTCAGGGCAGCCTCCACTGGTGCCTGTCTCCGGCAGTGTCAGGGCACGCTTTATTTCAATCAATCTCCTCCAGAGCTCTTAGCTGCCAAAAATGCCTGTTGATCACATACAGGATTAGGCTGCTCACTGCCCCTTTCCTATACATGTGTGTATGTGTATATATGAGAGCAATACCCGCCCACAGAGACCCCATTGCTGTCACTGCCAGCTGCAGCTGATGCCTGGGGACTGGCACCACCCATGGGCTGTAGCAAACTTGTGGTCCCAGAAACCAGGGGGACAAAAGCCTAGTGACAAACTACAGGATTTGGGTGGTGGGACAAAACAGCGACAGGGATGTTAGAGGTGAAGCAGGCATGAGGATGAGCATCCTGCCCCCTGTCTCCCAGCCCATGGCAAAGCCAGGCAGCGGGATGGGCAGGAGAGCATGGGTACAAGTCCAGCCACTGCCCTAGGGAGAGGCAGGATGGGATGTCGCTGCAGGAAACTGAGAGGCTACAAAATAAACATCTCTGGGTGAAAGTTCCCAGTGATGCTCTAGCATTCATGGTGCAGCATGGCTGTGTATGAGCAAGAGGTCAGTGCTTGCACCACCACGAACCACACTGCCTGGCATGGACACACGTCAGGCAGCTGGAGACAGCCCAAGCTGCCAGGATTTGCCCCCTCTCCCAGCTCCCTCAGCAGGTAAGTGACACAGACAGAGCTGAGATGGGTCCATGGTAGGACGAGGGGATGCTGCTGCACCAAACCTCGGGCATCCCACCTGGGTGAGGTGCCCCCAGGTTCTGCCCCGTCTAGGGAGCTTCAGGCTGCGTGATCCCACTGGGCACAGTCCACCCCAGGATGTGCCAGCACAGCAGCCTAGACCCCCTGATTCCCCAGAGGTGTCATTGCTCCCCAAACTCATCCGGCAGCCCCCTTCCTGCCCAATCCGGCCAAATCCCTCGCCCTAGCTCAGAGCCTGTCATTTCAATCTGCCTCCTGCTTCATGTGCAAGCAAACTGAGGTAATAAATCCAGAGAGAGCCACAAACTGAGCAAATAACTTTCCTAAGCACACGTATCCCACAGGCAGAAATAGTGGGAAGAGCTCCCTGAGCTGTCCATCTGTCTGTCTCTGCTTGGCCCAATATTCAAGCAAATTGCAGCAAAGCTAGGTCATTTTTGATTATTGTCTGAGACGGTGCCAGCTTTCCCTGCTAATTATAAGCTTACCTCCAGCTAATAGGATTTATAGAAACAAAAGCATTACCAGCACAAACACTGTGCAGGGCAGAACCAGCACAAACTGGGAATTTTCCATCCTGAAACGGCGAGGGCTGGGCACTTGAAACGCCTGTTTTATCCAGTCTGAGGTGAGATGGGGTGTCATTGTGATTTATTTTCAATGAATTGCTGGTTTGGTGGTGGCTGTGTATCTAAGGGTTTGGGTCCATCAGGGAGAGGGGGTTTCTTTGGCAGGGAAGTTATTTAACATCTCCAATACTGGTTCTGGTCATCGAAGACTGACTGAAATGGTGATGGGAATGGGTGGTTCATGCTCCCAGGAACCGCGTATGAGGGCAGTAAAGGGGATGGAGAGTGGGGTTCGGGGGTGGGGGGCTGCAGTGTTTGTACAGCTTATTAACAAAACTTCTACAACTCCTCATCCTGTTGATTGGATTAGGGGCTCTTCCACCTGGATAAATCCCAGAGCAGACAAGAGGGCAGGCTCTGGGCACCTAGAAAAGGCAGTGGTGTTTTGATCCTGGGTAGTGCTGAGCACCTGGGGCTGTTTTTTGGGATGCTGCTGGATCAGGCGCAGGGACGGCTGTGGGGATGGCAGGGCACAGCAGTTGGCTGAGTACAGCCTCAGGGAGGGCTGGTGTTTCAGCTGCTGTGGAAATTATGGAGTGGTCACCTTTCAAGATCAAGTCTTTATCCCAGATCTTATAAAGGCTGTGAAAAGCTGAATGCTGGAAAGGCTCTACAGGGCCATCACGGAGCTGGGGAGCAGGGCAAGACTTCTTGTGCAAGTGGCTGCTCAGTTGTTAGAGAAGACCAGGAAAGGGGAATCAGATTCCTCCATCCATTTTTAGAATTTTCTTGAGACCCCAACCAGCAGCAGCTCGGAGCAGAAGTCAGTGATGAGAAAAGGCTGTTCCTGAGATTGTTTTTATTTTTTCCCTTCTGGCATTTTATTCCTGGCAAGCCAGGTTATACAGCTGGAGGGCTGAGATATGTATTTTCTGGACATGAACTTTTTTTGCTTTGCTTCTCAGCTCCCTGCAGACACAAAAGTCTTCTACAGGGGGGATACACACAAAGCGCAGAGGAACAAGCTGCCCTTCCCAGCCCAGCCCTGCAGGTACACCCTGGGCAGCATCTGACCTGCAGAGGTGAAGGAAACTCACCCCAGGTCCCTGGTAAGAACCAGAGTGAGGAGGAAAATCCTCTCTCCCTGGCTCAAGACATCTGCCATGCTCCAACACAGCCTCCTGGATATTGTTCAAGTCACTCATACCCCAGGCTAAATTTTGTGCTGTAGTTCCATACCAGACCTGCCTGAGATAAGTCAAATACATTTGTGTGTATGCAGCAGCATACCAAAACCTTGCTCTGTAAACTTGCCCCCCTAACTTGTGTTTGTGCACTGGAGATCAAAGCATCCGCATGGTCCGTAGAGATACTGACATGGAAATAAATAGGCAAGTCTGCAGTAGCCCCCAGCAGCACCTTTTTATTATGTTATGAATGTCCACCTGGATTTGGAGCTTGAATTTCTGAACAAGTTGGTAGTAAGGAGTAGTTCACCCAGTCTTGAAGCCAAACATACTTAGCAAAAGAGCTTGAGTTCTACCCACACCCCGAACATGGAGGGTTTCTGACTACACCTAGGTTTTGATAACATGTTGGAAGCGTAAGGAAAGGACACGGGCTGTGACAAGTCACGCTCTTACCTCCACCACAGCTGCTTTCCAGGCAGGCCAAACTCAGTGCCCCAACCTCCCTCCCCTCTGGGGCAATGCCCCCATCCTGGGATACTGGGACTGGCCCCAAGGCCATCAGTACCACTGGGATACAACAGAAACGTGGGTGCTTACCGGACAGGGACCCTGAACTGCTTCTCTGCCTGCCGGGCCCTGGTGGTACTGTCCTGCAGCTGGAAGGAGAGGAGGACCCAGTGTTTCACCTTCTCTCTGTTCTCTGCACCCTCCACAGCCCCAGCTTATATATATTTGTTATTTATGGAGCACGTGATGACGTCCTAAGGAGTTTATACCCCCGATGAAAGACAGGGAGAGGTGAGAAGGCTTTAAGGTGACAGACCAGCAAAAGGATCCCATCAGGCTTTTTTTTAATTTATTTTTTTCCCCTGGCGTGACTCCTGCAGAGGGATAAAGCATTTAGCTGATTGCTCTGCACTGATTCCCCTCTGCAAGCCAGGCAGGGAGAGCAGAGGACTTGGCTAGGTTCAAGAAAGGACTTGAGCTTTCTCTCCAGTAAGGATGGGGAGGCTGCTGGCTGTGCCAGGTGTCAGCATCACTTAGGCTGGAGCATTGGAGCTGGTTTCTTTGGGGAATTGGCTGACTTCTTGTAGGATGAGGGGCAGACCTCAGGTTTCTGTCCCAGAGAACTTACTTCAAAGGCTGAGCATCTCTACCCCACACAACCCTTGGACCCTGGGAGCTATTGCATAAGAAACTGGATAGGCAAGGCCAGCAATATTTGTAGCCATCAGGACATGTGTAATAAAAAGGAAATTATCCCAGGCATAAACTGCTAGAAAGAAAATTACTGAGAAGGTCAGCAAAAATAATAATTTAAAATGTTGGCATCATCATTATCGCCATGAACCAGATGCAGCCCAGAAAGAAGTCCAGAGCAGGAGGCAGAGCTGGCTTTGCTCCACTGGAGATGTTTCCAGGGGAGCTCAGGGCCTGCTTTAGTTTTCAGCCATGGGCAAACTGACCTGGGGCTACACCCTTATCTCCTTCTTTTTAAGGGGTTTTTTTCATGCAATTGGAACAGAAATATGACCAGCAGCTTTCTGCTCTTCAGAAATGACATTTCAGAGCAACTCTCCGCCATTAAAACTGAGCCCAGCAGCACAGAGGCTGGAAAAGTCAAGCAGGGATGCTGCATACAGTGGTTTTAGCTGGGTCCTTCTGTCCCTGCTCCTGTGCAGCTGCAGAGGGTCAAAAACTCCATTAAACTAGAGTCACAGCACTGCGCTGAGATTTACATATTTAGCAGTGCTCTCAGCAGTCTTCAAAGAGCCCCAGGCTGGTTCCTCCATCTCAGTGCCTGCTTGGGACAGTGGCAATTATCTCTGGGCAGGATTTGCAGCAAGGGGTGACATGTGGGAGGCAGATGAATTGGTATTTGTCCCCCACTTTATCAGCATTTGGGAATCAAGTGACACACACGCAGCCAAGGGGCTCCTCAGCTGTGCCAGTTGATCCCAGTGCTGGGTTATCCCAGGGCTCAGGGGGATTAAGCTGCTTTTGGTGTCTGCAGCCTTCATAGTCCCTTGGTCTCAAGGGGCAGGGTCTGCCATCAGCAGGGATGCAGGTAACGTCAGGGTCATCCCCCACTTGGCACCATCCAGGGAGGTTTCTCTCCCAAACTCACATAATTACTAAGCTGGACACTGCTTACATCCCTGTTTTGCACCTTCCCCTGGCATAGCCAAGCAGATCCTTGCACTCAAAAGAGGGTGCTGTTTTCTTCCTGCCCTCACAAATGGTATGACAGGGGTGGCAGCAGGGCTCTGCAGTCTGGCATCGCTGCCAGGTCAGCCGCAGGCTCTGGTTTCATTCTCCCTCCTCTACTGCCTTTTCATAAACTGCCGTGGGCTGGCAGATGCAAGTGCTCGTTGTTGCTGTAACTTCACAGTGGGATGCGGCTCTTTGGACATATTCAATATTCTCAGTGCTTGCCAGGCTTGTTACCTGCTGTCTTTATCCCCAGTGCTCCCCTCC